AATATTTGCCAGTTCTTTGGCTCTCATAGGCCACGACAGGGCCTTGTGCTTCCAGGTGCCTGTGAAAATCCTCCTCTTCCTAGTTCTTACCACCCACCTTAACCACTCTACCCTGCTTCTTCACCTCCCCTTGTTCACAGATGACATCAGGGTCAAACATTGGATGAAGCCATCTCCTCCCTACCACTCAGCATCACAATGAATGACTTGCGTATCCTACACGTTTTATGTTCTTTGTTTATATTCTGAAATCTATTCAACCACCTTCACCATTTCCTCTACCCCAACAGTCCACATTCAAGGCTATTCCGCGGATTTTATTAAATTCTGCAGTTGCTCACCAGGGAATGTAGAGGCCCAGTACTTTCCTGGACTTTAACTTTGCAATTGTCCAACCTTCTTCCTCATTCCTTTAGAACCTTATTTTCTTCAACATCATGGAGAGAGTTCCCATGGTTCTTACCGACCCCCCGGCGCCCCCCATCTGCTATGCCACGTGTCTTTCCCGCCTGTCTTCTTGCACAGGTTCAAATCCAATAGATTCTCTGCAGATTTCTCTTTACGTCCCCCTTCTCTGGCACTGGTCACTGTAGCGTGAACCTTAAAAGTTCTTATTAATAAAATCAAACCTGAGCCAGTTATTGGGGTGAAATGCTGGAAGATCAGAGAGACAGAACAAGCCACAGCTAACCTCACCTGGCCAATTCCTCAGGTGATCCTGTTTCCTCAGACTGGATGCCTCTCAGCTGAACTGTGCTGCTCAAAGTCTAAGAGCTTAACCAGCCAAAATGCTTAACCAGCCAAAATGCTTAACCAGACAAATGCTTCTAGTTTCTGGTTCTCACGCCTTATATACCTTTCTGCTTTCTACCACCACTCCCTGGGATTAAAGGCTCGCTTTCTGGGATTAAAGGCGTGATGAGTCACCATGCTTGGCTGTATCCTTGAACACATGGATTTCTGCCTCTGGAATGCTAGGATTAAAGGCGTGTGCTACCACTGCCTATCCTAAGTATCTAGTAGCTTTTCTGTTCTCTGACCACAGATAAGTTTATTAGGGCACACAATATTTTGGGGAACACAATACCACCACAGGTCACTGTTGGCCACTCTGTCCTTGAAACATACTTCCTGTGTGACTTCACACACTGGCTCCTCTTCTGCATCCTTCCCCCAAGGTTGCTCAGAACTTTCTCCAGCACATACTTATTTTTCACATTCTCCATACTCTCTTAAAGCAGCCTCAGTACCCTTATACTAATGATTCCCAAATTACCAGAGTTCTCTCCTACAAGATAGAATCTTATATTCAACAACCTGGTAGTCATTTCTAACGGGATGTCGCTAAGTATTTCTACAACAATATACATCTTCATCCATTAGATGGCTACTTGAAAGAGAATATATAAAATATTCGAAAGGATGTAGAAAAACTGGAACCCTTGTGCATTGCCAGTGGGAATATAAATGTTGCACCTACTGTGAAGAACACAAGTTCCTCAGAAAACCTAAAAATCTTTACTATGTAATTCAGCAGTTTCAATCAAAAGGATCGAAAGCAAAATCTCTAAGATACCTGTGCACCTATATCTAGAGTAGTCTTATTCATAAAGGCCCCAAAGTGGCAAAGCGCAAATGTCTATTGATGAATGAAGTAATGGACATAATGTGCTCTATGCATACCACCAAATATTATTCAGCATTTAGAATGAAAAAATAAAAACAAAAACTGGGGCTGGAGAGATGTCTCAGTGACTTAGAACTTTTGACCTTACAGCAGACCTGAGTTCAGGTCTTAGCATCCTCATTTGGTGATTCGCAATCCTCTATAATTCCAGCTCAAGGGGATTCAAAGCCTCTGGCTCTGAGGGCAGACACACACACATACACACACACACACACACACACACACATGCACGCACGCACGCACGCACGCACGCACACTCAAGAAAAATAAAACTTCGTAATGAACACAGTGGCATGTGTCACAACTGGATGGACATGAGGACATTATGTTAAGTGACATAAGTCAATCACAATCAAGCAGACAGTGTATGAACCCACTTGTATGACCTACAGTCGCCAGCTCAAAGAGAAGAGAATTAAAGTAGAGGCTGCAGGAGGGTGTGGGGGTGTGAGAGGCGGGGGCGGGGGCCGGGGGCCGGGGGCCGGGGAGGATGGGAATTGTTTAAAGGGCATGGTTTTGAAAGTATTTTGATTTTGCAAAATAAAAATTCCAGAGATTGGTTTACAACATCATGAATGGTTTTTAATAGTACAGAACTGTACGTTTTAAAATGATTAAGGATGGTGTACTGGCTGGTTTTGCGTGTCCACTTGACACAAACTTGAGTCATCTGAGAGGAAGGAGCGAGCCCCAGTTGAAGAAATGCTTCCAGGAGTTCCAGCTGTAGGGCATTTTCTCCATTAGTGATCAATAGGGGAGGGCCCAGCCCACGGTGAGTGGTGCCATCCCTGGGCTGGTGGCCCTGGATTCTATAAGAAAGCAGGCTGAGCAAGCCAGGGGAAGCAAGGCACTAAGTAGCTTCCCTCTGCAGCCTCTGCATCAGCCCCTGCTTCCAGGATCCTGCCCTGTTTGAGTTCCTGTCCTGACTTCCTTCAGTGGTGAATAGCAACATGGAAGTGTAAATTGAATAAACCCTTTCCTCCCCCACTTCCTTTATGGTCACAGTGTTTCCTTGCAGCAATAGAAACCCTAACTAAAACAGGAGGACATGGAGGTGCACACCTTCAATCCCAGTACTAGTGAGACAGAGGCAGGCAGATCTCTATGAATTTGCAGCCAGCCTGTTCTACATGGTGAGTGCCAGGACAGCCAGAGAGCTACATAATTAGATAATGTCTACGCGCGCGCGCGCGCGCGCGCGCGCACACACACACACACACCCACACACACACACCACAATAAATAAATAAATAAATAAATAAATAAATAAATAAATAAATAAATAAATAATAACTAGATAGATAAATGTGATTTAAATAGTTAATTATCTTATGCATACTTCCACAATTAAATAAAACAGGTCCCAAACAGAGCTCAGTATATTTATTCCTCAATCTTATTCTCTTTCAGTTTGCTAAGTCTCAGTTGTAAAATGAACCAAAAAGCCTTTTGATTGTGTGTGTGTGTGTGTGTGTGTGTGTGTGTGTGTGTGTGTGTAAAAACATTTCAAATTAGTTTTCCACATAATGATCTGGAACCCTTTTTCAAAAAACCCACAGGAAACAAGTTAGTCTTACTCCTAAAACCCCATTAAAAATTTCCACTACTTAGAACAGAAAGTAAAGACTTGTCCTAGTCTTGTCGGTTTTTCTTTTTCTAGTTTCTTGTTCATGTTTCTTCTGAGAACTTTTCTTTATACATCTCAGCTGTGATAAATAAGGTTGGGGGATTCCAGTCCTCTAGTGTACATCCTAGTGATAAATATGTTAAGAAAAACAGCTATGTTAGAACTTTAGCTCAATGATGTGGCAAGCACTTTTAGTAAATGATTCAACTGAGTGCTACATGTCAATCAATTCTGACAAAAGATTAGTAGAGGTGATGAGTTGGGAAATACCATCAGCTGAAAGGTAGAATTGGAATTTGCTTTGAGAGAGCAAGATTTACTAGGTGTAAATTTTTGTATGTAAGGTGGTGGTTTCAATTAGACATTGGATCTTTGAAGCTTAGCATGCATAAATGGTGGGAAAGCATTATAGTTGTCCAGATGAGTGATCACATTGGCTGGGTGAGGGGGGAGTAGCAAGGATGAATAATTAGAAAGTAGAAGTTTTGAAGGAGATTAAGATTTACATGTAGGAGAAAAGATTGAGAAAGGAGAAAAAAATTGTGTGTGTGTGTGGGGGGGGGTATTGGGGGTGCGAATTGTGCACTTCCCATAGTGAGCATGTGGAGATCAGAGGAGGACAACTTTCCCTGAGTCCTTTCGTAAAGGGGCCTAGGAGTCAGTACAGAATACAGCCAGACACCAAATTCTCAGCACATAGATTTTGTTACTCTCCCCGGACTGACTCTGGATAGGGCAAAGACAGCAGCAGGTGTTTCTTCTGCGGGAGTGGTTTTTAAGGAGAAAAAGGAGAAGTCTGTGTTAGGATGAGTTGGTGACACGTTAGCCAGTGTAGCCAAATAATGAAATCTGATTGCTCGACCTTGGTGTTTTGATAAGCTGGACCTTGGAGTTTTAGTCAGGCATAAGGAAGTGGTCAAATAAGAGACTAGACCTTGGTGGCTAGCTTTAGGAATATAATCTAACAGTTTAGCAAGGAAGCGGGAATGAGAGAGGGCAAGAACTGTTGGCGCCATGTTCTTTTTCTTTTTCTGCATTGAGTCCCAAGGATTGAAATCAGGCCATCCGGCTTGTGTTGCAAGAGCTTTTACCCGATGAGCCATCTTGCTGGTCCCAGTAGGTGTTTCACGAGGCTTGTGTGCAATAGTGCAGAAGATAATGTATAGACGAGAGACTACTATGTAGCAGTAATTATCCCTGTTTCCTCTGGCTGCTCAAAAGTTGGGTTGGGATGAGCCGGGCGGTGGTGGCGCACGCCTTTAATCCCAGCACTCGGGAGGCAGAGCCAGGCGGATCTCTATGAGTTCGAGGCCAGCCTGGGCTACCAAGTGAGCTCCAGGAAAGGCGCAAAGCTACACAGAGAAACCCTGTCTCGAAAAACCAAAAAAAAAAAAAAAAAAAAAAAAAAAAAAGTTGGGTTGGGGAAGAGGGGCGTGAACTTCAGGCTAGGTTTTATGATTCCCGAGACTACTTAACTGGAAGGAAAAGGTGCCGTGAGCTGACAGAGACGAACAAACACAACCCATCTCAGATCCTTCCTAGAAAGCACCTGCCGCCAGCTTGCCGGACGACTGAGTCTCCGTGCACCGCGGGCTGCCTCCTCCCGCGGAGAGGTTCCTCCCGCCAGCCCGCGCGCCTGGCCAGCCAATCAGCGCCCGGGGACGTCATCACCGTGCGCACACTGGGACGCGTCAGAGACTGGCCCACGTGTACTGTGTTGACTGTCAAAAGTCTCAAGGTACCCGGGATCCGGAAGTTCTGAGTTCTGACCGAAGTTCTGCCCACCAGCCGGCACATCGCCCCCCGGCCAGCCGGCAAGTACCGAACCATGAGCGCCGCGGGCGTCCTGTCTTTCGCCCAGCAAGGCTGGGAGCAGGTGCTGGCCAAAGTGAAGTGGTCCGTGGTCTACCTGGACGCCGCCTGCGCCGAGAGCCTGCACTGGAGCTGCGGATCAAGCCGGCTTCTGGAGGCGGTGAAGGGTCCAGCGTGCCACCTGAGGGAATTTGAGCCCCAGGCAATTGGCGGTGGAGCCCAGCAGCCCCGGGCGGTGTTCGTGTTGAGCTGCCTGCTGAAAGGCCGGACGGTAGACACCCTGCGAGACATCGTTCGCCGCAGTCACTTTCAGCACTGTGTGGTGGTCACAGCCGTGAGCCACGCAGTCCACCTCACTGCTAACCACGTACCGGCGGCTGCAGCGGCCGAGCTAGAGGGGCAGCAGCCGGTGTTCGAACAGCTGGAGGAGAAGCTTTGCGAGTGGATGGGCAACGTGAACTACACGGCCGAGGTGCTGCACGTCCCTTTGTTGCTCGCCCCTGCTGCTCCCCACCTGGCCTTTACTCCTGCCTTTGCTACCCTTTTCCCACTGCTACCTCGGGATGTACATCTCCTTAATAGTGCCAGACCCGACAAGAGGAGGCTGATCAACTTGGGTGAAGTGGATGCCGCTGCCCTGACCCCTGAGCTGCTGCTGCACATCAGATGCCTGGTGTCGGGCCTCAGTTCTCTGTGTGAGCATCTAGGCGTACGCGAGGAGTGTTTCGCTGTGGGTTCCCTCAGTCGGGTCATCGCTACAGATCTGGCAAATTATGCCCCTGCCAAGAACAGGAAGAAGACTGCTACAGGCAGGGCGTCCGTGGTCTTTGTGGATCGAACTCTGGATCTCACAGGTGAGTGGAATGTCTAGGAGTTCTTCATCTTCACTCACCCAGCGAAGTGACCTTTGCATTGATACAGCGTTGTTGGCCTCATATTGAGGTTGCTAATAGAAAGATGAACTAAATGAATCACTTCCTAATTTGACAGTGTCTGGAGTTGTTTTGTCTGGTGGAGGAGGGGGTGGATATAGACCAAGTACAGTATAATTTGTTAAGTGCTGTAACGGGGCAAATATGGCTTTAGTGTGCATTGTTGTTATTTTTCGAGACAGGCTTTCTCTGTAGCTTTGGAGCCTGTCCTGGAACTTGCTTTGTAGACCAGGCTGGCCTCGAACTCACAGAGATGTGCCTGCCTCTGCCTCCCGAGTGCTGGGATTAAAGGCGTGCGCCACCACCGCCTGGCTGTTGTTGTTTTTTAAACAACTGCACTTAGTCTAGAGACTATTAGAAATGTCTTAATAGCAGTTGTCTTAGTTAGGGTCTCTATTGCTGTGATGAAGCACCATGACCAGAAACAACTTGGGGGAAAGGGTTTATTTGACTTAAGCTTCCACATCATTGTCCCATCAATGAAGGAAGTCAGGACAGAAACTCAAAGAGGGCAGGGACCTGGAGGCAGGAGCTGATGCAGAGGCCCATAGAGGGTACTGCTTACTGGCTTGCCCCATATGGCTCGCTCTACCTGCCTTCTTATATTACCACCAGCCCAGGGGATGACCTTAGTTTGTTCTCTGGGACCCACATGGTTGAGGGTTGTCCAGTTATCCTCCGATCTCTGCAAGAACCCATGGCTTGTACATGCCCCTCCATATGCAAATAAATAGGTAAATGTAATTTTTTAAAAACTGAAACTGGCCTGGTGGTGGTGGCTGTTGAGGCACATGCTTTTAATCCCAGCCTTTGGGAGGCCGAGGCAGTTGGATCTCTGTGAGTTCGAGGTTAGCCAGGTCTAAATAGTGAGTTAGTTCCAGGACAGCCAAGGCTACACAGTGAAACCCTGTCTTGAAGAACAAAACAAAAAAGTGGAACTGACCCTACCTGTAAGGAGATAGAAAAAGAATTTTAGAAAGTACTTTCAAATGTGTATTGATTTATTCTTAGCTCTCATTCTGTTGAAGTTTATATAGCAATCTCAATTTTGGCAATGTATTATTTATATGTGCAAGGAATAACTCTAACCTTAAAATAGGTGAAGAAAAAAAATGCTTTTTGATATATGATGGGAACATTTATTTTCAGAGGTCAACTTTGTCCTAGAGTTAAGTAGATACAATTCAATAATAGTATGTGCTAGCCACTCAGGGTCAGAAAACTGATACCAGTAGTTAGTTAGTTTTGCAGGTTAGAAATAAAACTTGAGTGATGTTATAAAAACTAGTAGGAAGTAGCTTTGGCATTTTACTTTAATTAGATGGATTTTAAGATGTAGCTCGGAGGGAATGATGGTGGGATGTATGGTAATCATAGCTAATTTCAAGAGGGCAGTGGTCATGTCGTGGCCATGTCATGCCCGGAGGGCAGAATTCCACAAAACACAAGCTAGCAGAAGGCTTCTGTACCTCCCTGTCACCAAATCTGTACAGTTTTCTCTTCCTTCATATTAAAAGGGAACATTGCTTCCTTCCTAACATTTTTACCCATGGAGCCTAGCTCTGTGTTCTCTCATCACTTCTTGTGGATTTGCTTCTGCCCAGTACCCCTAAGTTGATCATTTTCACCTCCCCACCCCCCCCCCCCCCCCGACTTTCATCTTTGGCATACAGGCATAATGGGGCATATCCTTGCTTGACTCCTCCTTCTCATCCAACTTCAATTCCATTATATTTGGCTTCATTTTGTAGCAGACTTGAGAATTGTCTAGATTGTGGGCCATTTCCACAATCATCTATGTCAGATTTTATTCTTTACTTCCATTCTCATTAAGCTTTTATTTTTCAAAACTTCCCAGCTAGTGGCTTCGTTAGTGACTTTGTGTTTCCAAATCCATGGATGAGTTGTACGACTCCTTTCCCCCTGAACCTCAGACTAGTGTTGACTACAATAGAGTACAGCAAAGAGTAAAAGGAAATTTAGGGAGAGGGAGATAGTTCCATGGGTAAAGTGCTTGCTACACATGCGTGAGGACCTGAGTTTGGATCCCGAGAACATAGGTTGAAGCCGAGTGTGATGGCCTGAGTGTGAGAGCATGCATCTGTAACTTCAGTGCTGGTTGTTGTTGTTGTTGTTGTTGGTGGTGGTGGTGGTAGAGGTTGATATGGAGAGGCAGAGCTAGCCAATTGGTGAGCTTCAGGGTCAGCAACAGAATGTCTCAAAAAAAAAAAAAAGATGGAGAGCCATAGAGAAAGACGTGCATTGTCTACCTCTGCCTTCTACAAGCACATGAAGGGGTGAGCATTTCAGCAAACATATAAAAATAAAAGATACAAAAGGTAGATAAGCACTCAGTGATTTTGCTGTGTGATTTTATCAGTCATAAATCTGGCTTGCTGTTTTTTTGCTAGGTCTTCTCACCACAGTATTCACGTATTGTAGTTAACTTTCAGTTGCTGTGATAAACATCATGACCAAAAGCAACTTGGTGAGGAAAGGGTCCATTTAGCGTAGACTTCCAGGTAATACTCCATCAGTGAGGGAAGTCAGGGCAGGAACTCAAGCAGGACCCGGATCCGAGATCATGAAGTAATGTTCTTACTGGACTGGCTTTCTTGTACAACCCAGGACCACCGGCCCAGCGGTGGCATTGCCTACAGTGGCTGGTTTCTCCATATCAATCATTAATCAAGAAAATGCCCCACAGATATGCCATAGGACAGTCTGGTGGGAGGGGGCAGTTTTGGGTCACTCATGGTCCTGTCATTAATCTCACTCCTGCTCTGTGAGTGACCCCAACAAACTCATTGGTTCCCCAAGTTGGACTTTGGTGGAAGCATGCTTTAGTTTGCCACTGATGCTCTATAAAGAGGGAGTAGATGTTTACATCTCCCTAAATAATGAGTTCCTGCACCTGTAGAGGGTATCTCCCACATGGGATGAGGTCACATGTATGTGTTGGTAGCAGGCAATATAGTCTGGTGAGGTGACGAAGCCAGAGATAAAGGATTGTTTTCTAGGACATGATGTGCTTGCTTAGCCTCTGGTATGTGGATCTAAGATTGACTTATGTTCCTATCTGGAAATAATCACCTTTTGGCGTAGTGTAAGCCAAGAAATTTCTATACCCTGCAGAAGTTGGCCATGAGGGTTCCAGGGAATGAAGTCAGATTGTTAGACCCTTTTCCCCTGAGCCATCTAGCTGTCCCATCTCCTTTTCATTTGAAAATTATGATACGCTTTCCTGTAGAAAAGCTTGAGTAGACTTTTTTAGGGTAGATTTTAATTTAGATTGGTTTGTTACTGGGCCTAAAGCATATAAGTGCAAATATTTCTATTGGGTATCTTTTGGGTAATCACCCAAGTTATCTTGCATATGGTTAGCTTAAAGTTTCATTTGCTGCAAAGATGTGTGACTGTAGTGTTTTGATTCTATATCAGTAATATAGAGATCGTTTTCATTTCCTAAAAGCTTGTATTCTAAGTTATATTAATGTTAAAATGCTCTGCACTACTGAATAAAAGGAAATTTCTACTTGATGAGACCATAAGTTACTTAATACTGTGAAATGAGTGATAGCCTATGGCTGTGTTAGTGAAGATGTAGTGAGCCGCACAAGTATTGAGAGTACTGAAATGGAGGGGGTGTGGTGCATTAATGTTATGGGAGTGCAGTGTTTGCCCATTGCTCTTGAGTGACCCTGAATTGATGAGGGTATGAGGTAGGTAGTGTAGGTGGCATTATTGGCATGGGTCATTGTTTTCCTGTCCACTTTGAGTTTCCATTTGCTTGTGTGGTTAAACAGGAGCAGTTGGACATCATGGAGACAACTTTGTGGAGAAGATCATCTCAGTGCTACCACAGCTACCAGGCCACACCAACGATGTGATGGTCAACATGGCAGAGCTCACCGCTGTCCAGGCCATAGAGGGAAACCAGAATGTGATTGCACCAGGCTGCCTTGCACAATCCAAGTAAGACATGTGGCTTTGTTGTTTTTCTCTCCTTCTCCGTCCTCCTCCCTTTTCCTTAGCTAAGATGGAATATCTCTATAGAACAGAAATGAACCTGTGATCCTAGCACTTGGAAGATGAAGGCAGGAGAGTCAGGAGTTCAAGATCATCTTTGCCTAGTTAGCCAGTTCCAGGCCATCCTGGGCTACATGAGATCCTGTTTTTAAGAGAAGAAAGAAAAGAGTGAGTGAATAAAACACTACTCAAATAGAATAATTCATAATGGGTAATATTTAGGAAAACACCACCTATAAATATATCAATAATCATACCCACTAGGCATAGTAAGACAGAGAGTATGACATTTTATGCTTTTTCCAGCATCCAAGAAGTGAGTCCGTGAGTGGATCTCCATTTATTTGATAGATAGTTTTATAGGGATTAAGTCTGGGATTCCACAGTTTCTCTTCATACTTACTTGGCTTTATCAAATAACTAAATGCAACCCATATAGCTATGAGTCAGTGACATATTTTATATTTAAATAATATGCTTTGGGTATCACTGGGTGATATGTTCATTTAAAGGCATATCTTTTTTCTCCATGCACTTTGAGAAATCAAAGAATATATGTCCTTGAAGTCATGCAATGTTTCAAAAACAAAGACTTTTCTTTAGACATGACAATAAAAAACATATGTAGTCACACCTTTTCAACTTTGTACTTCATCCACAATTCTTAGGAGAATATTGGGTTTTTTTTTTAGATTTATTTATTATTCTTTATGTGTATGAGTGCTTTCCTTGGATGGATGGATGTGTCCCATGTCTGCTGCCCATGGGGGTTAGAAGAAAGTGTCAGAGCTCCTGGACCTGGAGTTACAGACAGTTGTGAGCTGACACATGGGTGCTGGAACCAAACTTGGGCCCTCTGCAAAAGCAGTCAGTGCTCTTAACCAGCTGAGCCAGCTCTCCAGCCCCTGCAATTTGTTTTTTAAATGTATTAGTAGTGAAATAGAGTATTTATTTTCTTTATCTATTTTGTGTTTTTAAACAAAAGAGGATGTTTTGACGGTATAGTTTCAAATCTAAACAGTAATACATTTAAAATTTCCTCTCATTTTAGAATCAATTTGTAGTAACTGAAGTTTTCAGCTTTTCTTTTGGTACCTAGGGTGGGACGAAAATTGGAAGTTTTATTCTTTGTCTTCTCTCTGTTTACATGAACAATGAGGAGCTAGAGCAAAAGCTTGCCTCTCTTCTGAGGTCCTTGTGATTGGAGGATCCTCAGAAGCTAACAGTTACGTACTTTCTGTGAGCTAAGAAAAATGAGGACACCAGCGAAGATGAACTAGCATTCCTGTCTTCACAGAGCACTGTTTTTGTTGTGGTAGTGTTATGAGTTATGTTCAGGCACAGTAGGAAGAGTGTAGCCATGATCTGACCTGAACTGCCACTGGGGATGTTGAACTGCCACTGGTGACCATTTCTATAGATAGCTGTCAGATAAATTCGTCAGCTTGGCCTCGTGGAAGAATGGGCCTTGAGATGATTGTGTCTCAAGGTTTGGAAATAAGGTCCACATGGAAAGGATGTAGAAAGAAGATGCTCAGGGCCTGATGTGATGACCGTGAAGAAGAGAGACATCCTTACAGGGCACCACTGTCATCAGCTCTGTTAACATTTTCCAGAATGTGCTATTGTGTTAAGCTCATCCCTAAGCATCTTGTAGTTGGGAAGTCACTTTTAAGTTTTTACAGTAAATCCATGAGGGAGATTTTCCCGTGTTTCAAGTAAAGAAATTGAGGTAACAAGACAGTAAATTACATAGATGAGGAGCTAGAAATGCACCGGAAGGTCTGATTTCAGAGCCACTCTCTTCCCCGTTGTGCTGTCCATGTGGGGCCCAGAGGAGAGGTGGGCTCTTGACCAGACTCAGGAACTCAATACGACACAAAATAGTCACGTCAGTATTTAATACAAGAAGTCCTGTTTGTTCATGGTGATTTTTATAGACTAACAGAAAAAAATATCAGCATATTTCAGTAAAAGGTATTTAACAGCTAATAGAATCAGGAAGACTGTTGATCAAATTTTTGAAAGTAGAAATAGTTGTAGTCTAGGGAGCAAGAACTCAGGAAAAGCCTCTTCAAGGCCTTGACATCAGAGAGAGACTTAGTTTTAACTGCCTCCTGTCTTTTAGTCTTTCTGCTTAGGACAGGCCTATCTTGCCATTTGTCCCCATTTTCCCAGTGGGGGTTGGGAGCTGTTCATACTAAGAACTATGCTGAGGTCATGTGGCATGCCAGGGAGGTGAATGTCTATAGATAACTGGAAGACTTACTTAAAAGAGACCAGAGCAGTGATGCCCTTTGGTAATAGAGCACATTTAAGAGAAGACTTGGAGCCGGGCGGTGATGGTGCACGCCTTTAATCCCAGCACTTGGGAGGCAGAGCCAGGTGGATCTCTGTGAGTTCGAGGCCAGCCTGGTCTACCAAGTGAGTTCCAGGAAAGGCGCAAAGCTACACAGAGAAACCCTGTCTCGAAAAACCAAAAAAAAAAAAAAAAAAAAAAAGAAGACTTGGCATGTCGCTCCTGAACACTTCAGATATGCTAACTGATTTAATGGCTCTCAAATCTGTGAAACAGCTTCTATTATTCCCCATTCTAATCTTTTAGTTTCATCATGTGACTTAAGATGTTATATGTGCAGTTAGAAAGATGGAGGTCCAGCTCTGAGTCAGTGCTTCCATTACCCCATGTTTCTTTCATAAAAGCCTAGAGTAATTAGAAAAAGAGCAAGTAAGCTCTGAGAAAACGTTGTAAAATGAGGAATTGGGTTGATTAGAGTACAAGAAAACATGTGAACTCTTACACATTCGACAGGATAGATAAAGGAATGAAAGCAGCCTCAGATCCTTAGCAGATGTTGTGATTGTGGCCAGCGTATTTAGTCTCTCCAGCATCCATTCTACAGCAGGGCCTGTCCTGAACTGCCTTTTTCCTTGCGAGTGATTGTTTAAGAAATGGACATGACACCTGAGACCATGTTGGTGTCTGAGGGCCTTACTACCACCAGGGTCATACTGATCTGGATGACCTGTGCTGCCACAGGGGCCATGGTGATGTCTGGCCCAAGCTGCTGCCAAGGGCCACGTCTGAGTCCGTATTCCTGCTGCAGCTGGGGTCTGTGATGATGTCTATGGCCTGTATTACCATGGCGGGGTGGATCTTAAGAGCCATTCCAATTGAAATCCAAAGGCCATGCTGAGCTGGTCCTGCCCCTCATTGGCCCTGGGATAGCTGGTCTTGTCCCTTTCTGGACACTGCAGCAGGAGAGCTGTCCCTGCCCTATAGACGGATTTTTCTTTTTGGGCTACCAACTCACACACACAAAATGACATGGAGACTTATTAATTATGAAAGCTTGGCCTTAGCTTAGGCTTGTTTCTAACTAGCTCTTATAACTTAAATTAACCCATATTTTTAAATCTGCATTCTTCCATGTGCTTGTTCCCTCATCTCCATTATGTCTATCCTGGTTATTTGCATCCAGCTGGCGACTCTGCCTTTTTTCTTCCCAAAGCTCTCTCTGTTCAGAAGTCCTGCCTATACCTCCTACCTAGCTATTGCCATTTAGCTTTTTATTAAACCAATCACAGTGACACATCTTCACATAGTATAAAGGAATATTCCACAACACTGCTCCCCCAAGGAAGAGCTGCCCCCCAACCCCTACTGAGGAGAGATGGCCCCACCTATCACCGCAGGTGTGGGAGAGCTGGTCCTGATGGCATGGGTTTAAGAGAGCTAGCTCTGCCCGTCGCCTGAGGTAGGTGGGCCCAGTGGCCTGGACCAACCAGCTCAGCTACCACCGAGACCCACATCCTGGGCCTTGGGTTGGCCCACCCTAACATCTGCTCCATCTATGACCTGCTGGAGCATGTGAAGAGACTGGTCCTGCTGAATGGTAACTGCAGGATCTCCATGACTCCAAGCAACAACAGGATGTCTGAGAGGAATTTCGGTGAGGGTCCAGTGATGATGGTGTACCAGAGGCCTTGAACCAGACCAATGACTCATCGCAGTGAACAGTTTGCTGGTGGCTGATTGGACAAAAGGCTGTACTGCATGGCACACTGTGGCTCCCAGTGCCGCCAGGTTGGATGAAGAGGTGTTGGAGAGATGGAGGAGGGAGGTGGGTTGTTTTTTTTTAATTAATTGGGGGTGGGGGCTTGGGGAGCATGCTGCAGGGGTGAGGAGTGGATATGGAGGAACTGGAAGGTGAATGGGATTCGGGTGTATGATGTGAAATTACCAAAGATTCAATAAAGAATTATGTAGTTTTTTTTTTCTCTCTTCTCTTTGAGGGCCTACCACCCAGCTCCCAAATAAATACACTGACGTTTGTTCTTACTTATAAATGCCTGGCCTTAGCTTAGCTTGTTTCTAGCCAGCTTTTCTTAAATTATCCTGTGTACCTTTTGCCTCTGGGCTTTTATCTTTCTCTATTCTATGTCGCTTTCTTCCCTTACTCCATGGCTGGCTGTGCTGCTGGGTGGTTGGCCCCTGGCATCGTCCTCTCCTTCTCCCTCTTCTCTCCTATTTTTTTTTTCTCTGCCTGGCAGCCCCACCTATCCTCTCTTGCCTTGCTATTGACTGCTCAGCTCTTTATTAGACCAATCAGGTGTTTTAAACAGGCAAAGTAATACAGCCTCACAGAGTTAAACAAATGCAACATAAAAAAATGAAATACATCTTTGCATTATTAAATGTTCCACAGCATAAACAGTGTAACACATTTTCAACTAATATTCCACAACAGAATTATGTTAAAATAAAAAGAATGGTGGGGCATTGGTGGCACACGCCTTTAATCCCAGCACTCGGGAGGCAGAGGCAGGCGGATCTCTGTGAGTTCAAGGCCAGCCTGGTCTACAAAGTGAGTTCCAGGA